ACCATGCCCCGCCCCAAACCCTGTCCACGCCCGCTAGCCACTCCCCTTCCCCGGGTCCTGTCCTGCGCCTTCCACACCCGAGACCCTCCCCACCTACAGGGGCCCCACCTCGACCCCGACACTTTGCCTAAATAAATGGACGCCGTTGCCCAGTACCAGCGCGAGCCAGCGTTCTGAGTGGGAGGGAGCCTCAGGGACAGGGCCATCACCTCCCAGCCAGTCTCCTCAATCCTTGACCCTGACAACCCGACCAAAGGGCAGCAGTGCTTCGCGGGAGGGCGCGCTCCCCACAGTTGGTCAACCCAGGGCCCAGGGCCACTTGTCTCCCCCGCCAAGGCCACGCCCCTGGCGCTGCAGCTGGCACTGAACCCTGTCCACGAATGCGAGAGGCTCTGGACCGCGGCGCCCATAGGTCAGGTCGGGTGGGGCCAGAGTTCAGAGGACTGCAGTGGGCCAAGTGTAGCCCCACCTGCTCTGGGCTGGGCTCAAAGCCCCCGCTTCACCCACCTTCCTTGGCTGGAACACAGTACAACAGCCCTGCAGCCCATGGCTGGCCCACAAGTCCTGCTGGCCTTGCTGGACATGGCCCGTGCCATCGGGCAGACTGGCCCGAGGTGGCCAGCAGCTGACTGCCCCAAGATTCAATCCTGGGAAAGGGCACAGACAGGTGGTCCTTTCCAGGCAGTGGCTGGAACATGGGCACTACCTGGGCATGGGAGGTGCTGAGGCTGCTTCTGACCAGTCAGCAGGGCCGGGAGTGAGGTCTGAGCAGCAGCTGCTTTGGATCTGTGTGGCCAAGGACCACAGGGCAGACCATGGGAGAGCTCCTGAGGCCAAGGTCAGCTGCTAAGGGCATCTTACAAGGCAGCGCTGGGGAGCAGGGGGCAGACAGCCACCTTCCTTCCCTGAGCACTGTGAAGGGTGCGGCTCCGTCCCCCTTTCCTTGCAATAGTAGTGCAGAACAGAGTAAAGGCTCCCTGCCCACTCTGGCTCCTGTGGCTCTGCCTCAGGCAGGCCTGGGTCCTGCAACCTCTGTACAGTGAGCCGGCACACGGGGAGGGGTGGCACAGGGCGTGCTGCAGGGCTCATGGAAACCTGCCAGTTGTGGTCCCAGTGAGGGGCTGATTTCGAGCACATCATGGAACTAGTAGGGCACCTGACAGGTATGTGGCAGTCACATGCACGGGTGCACGGGCTCGCTACACGGCCCTGTGGGGTCACGAACACGGGTGTGTGGGTGCAGGGGTGCAGGTGATATGCACAGCCCGGCAAGTTCCGACCTTACCCAACACGAATGCAGCCTCCTCTGCGTGCCCCCCAGACCCTCCTTCAACGTTAGAACTCTGACCACTGCCCAGGCCACTGCCCTGAGCACACGACCCTCTCCAGATGCCAGGCAGTGAAGGCCCAGCTGGGGACAGCAGCCGCCGCTGTGCAGTGTCCCGGGTGGCGAGGCTGCGGAGCTGGGTGGACCAGGGCTCCCCAAAGGGATTCCCACCTGGGTATTCTGATCCCCCAGAGGTTTCTCAGGAACCCCATCCTGAGCCAGGAGCATCTGCCGTGAGGATGGAGAGGCAACGTCAGGCCAGAGTCGGTGGGTGACTTCTCTGGGCCAGCACCAAGTCACACCCCACGGACACTGGACATGACTTACAGGGCCCAGGGAGCGGCCAGCTCCAAGCATGCAAGGCCCTGGCCCAGCGGTGGAGGGCAGCGATGAGTCTGGCAGGACTGAAATGAGGAAGCAGCAGCCTCGTGAGAGCGGCCCCAGGATTGGGCCAGCACACGGCCCGGCCCTCTGTGCCTGGCCCATCCGCCCAGCCCTTCCAGTGCCCGATGGAGGGTTGGTGGCCTCGCCTTCTGCATTCCCCTCCTTGCCAAGCCTGTGTGGCAGCTGGTCCGGACCCACGCTGGACAGTGTCTTGGCCCGGAGGACGGCGTGAGGGCAAGTTCACGGCAGCCGGAGGGTGCTGGCACACTTCCTATGTGGGTTATTATTTAGCTCTCACGAGGGCTGCGAACCTTCTCCTCGGCCAGGGTTTCCCCAGAGTTGGGTCAGCTTATGATGGCACTGAGAACATAAGGTCCAGTGTGTCACGCCCCTGTGGAGATGTCCGTGACCTGCGCCATCCCGGTGTCACCAATAGTAGGAGGCGGTCAGGGCCCCGAGATGCAGGACCCTGGCATCTCTCCTTTGTGGATCCCAGGCCAGGCTCACTTCCCAGGCTGGGCAGCCTTCCTCCTGAGGGACTGGGCACACCGCTCCCGGTGTGTTGTGAATGATTACAAATTCTGAGCCAGTAGTTTTCTACTAGACCCCAAACAGCCCTTCCTGGGTGGAGACAGCAGCAACCGATTCTGTTGAGCCGGATTCTGAGCCGGAGACTGTGGACTCCCCCTTTGGGCCAGGCCATGGGGCACAGCAAGGGGGCGGCCCCACTGAAGGAGCAGGAATGGGGCCAGAGACGGGCATCAAGGCCCCGGGGATGGGCACTGCAGGAGAAGCCAGCCGGGTCCTCAGGCAGGCGCTGTGATGCAGCAAGTGGGTGTCCAGGCAGGTGACAAAGAGATGCTCGGACACGGGCCCAGGTGAGGGTCACGCTGGGCACACGGCCCCGTGCCATAGAATGGTCTCCTGACTGGAGCGCTGCCAGGACCAGCTCAGGCCCAGGTCACAGCGCAATCCCATGCCCTCAGAGGAAGGTGGGATGGACAGAAGGCGGTGTCCCAGCTGCAAGTACAGCCAGGGCCAGCAGAGACAAAGGCCTCGAAGGAACGGTACCAAATGATCATCTAGCTGCCTCTGAAAATAAGATAATTAGAAAATGTTTTTTCTCTCCTTTTTTTTGAGGCAAGGTCTTGCTATGTAGATCAGGGTGGCCTCACATGGCAATCCTCCTGCCTCAGCCTCCCAAGTGATAGAATTACCTTGAGTTTGACAAATTACCTGTAATGGATATCTAGGAGTTGCACATCAGAAAAAAAAAAAAAAGAAAAACAAACTGAGATCACGGCAATAAAGTCAAAAATGTTGGCAGAGACCCCTGCAGTAAGTCCCCACCTGCCCAGTGTGCAACACAGGCCTGTAAAAAAATACACTAGTGGACAGAACCGAGAGAGCGGGAGCGAGGGAGAGGGAGAGAGGGAGAGAGGGAGAGAGGGATACAGGGAGACAGGGAGACAGGGAGAGAGGGAGAGAGGGAGAGAGGGAGAGAGAGAAAGAGAGAGAGACAGAGGGAGAGGGAGAGGAAGAGGCAGAGGAGGGGGCAGGATGACCAATGCTTAACCGACAAAGGCGCTGGCCAGTCCCAGGAACTGACTTTTGGCAACTAATTGGACTAAAGGGGACATGGGGTTTCTATGGAAATTAATGCAAACAAGGCTCATAAAGGACGGGACAAAGCGTTCTCAAATTAGGAGCAGAACAGACAGCGTATTTGGTTGTAATTAGAACACTGTCCTCCTAATCAGATGGCTTCAGCTGTGGGAACGGAATCTGGGTGCGAGTTACTCTGATCCCGGCTCACAGGCTTCGGCTGAACTCACTTCTGTAAGCCCGCCAGCTGCGGGTGACTCTTCACAGCCTGCCTTGGGCATCATCAATATTCCGGTCCTCTGCAAACATCAACCACGCTGGGGCGGGGTGTCGCTGTGGGTATGGCGCTCACCTGGCGCGGGCAAGGCCCTGGCTTCCATCCCCAGCGGCGCAAAAGAAGAAAGCAAGTCCTGGCCCCTCACGGGCTGCTCTGGACCAGCCTCTCCTGAGTGGCAGCGAGCCCCGCGTGGGTCCCTGCTGGGCACTGAGCAAGCGAGGGGCACAGTGCCCTCCAGCTGGGGCTGAACCGGGACGGATGAGAACACAGCCAGTGCCCCGTGTGGGCAGATTATCTGCAATTCCAGTCCTCCCCGAGGTCTCTGCGGAGCCGGAAGCAGCGCCTCCTTCCCCGGTCATTTACAGACAGGAGTGGGTAAGAAAGGAGCTGAGTGGCCATCAGGATGCCCCGCTTCGGGCTGCTTTCTGCCCCGCGGTTCCGGCTGGCGACAGCAGGGGGCGCCGCAGGCCAAGCGCGCCGCTGGAGCGCGGGACCGTGGGAACCTGGTTTTGGGGGCTGCGAGGCCTCAGGCAGCCACTGGAGGGCTGTTTTCTCTCTTGTTTTATGGAGAGAGCAAAACCAACAGAATGAGCTGACTCACATCCTCCTAAGATGTTTGTGTGTGTGTGTGTGTGTGTCTCCTAGCAGCAGCGCTGGAGTGTTAATTCAATATTTGAGGGTAGTACGACTATGAACAGCACGAAATCCACAAAAGGGGGCGCCAGGCCCTCTGAGATGCCCCCGCCCCCGAGTTCCAAAGGAAGCAGCACAGCACCCCAGGGGCTCTGTCCAGAGCCCGTGGTAAGGGGACTTGGGGCTCTGAGCTCATCCTCACAACCGACCCCAAGAGAAAAGGGGCCCTCGCCTGCTCTGGCCCCCACGGGGGTCAGGGATGGGGCGCATGAGGGTCTAAGGCGTTCTCAGGGCCACCCCAGGTTTTTTCAGCGTTTGGGGGCCAACTAAGCACCCCCATCAGTGTCCAAGGGTAAGGCACAGAAAGAAGGGGAGGGTCCTGCCCTGTCAGCAGGGAGCGAGTGCAGAGGAAACACAGACTTGGAATAGCCCGTGTTTGTACCACGATTTGACCTGTGTGTGCGCAGCGGTAGGCACTGAACTCAGGCCCTCCCACACACTAAGCAAATGCTCTACCGCTGAGCTACAGCCTCAGCTTCTGTAAAACGAACTGATTAACAAGAACATTTCCACCAGAAATCTCCAGGGTCAAATCAGGCACAGTGGCAAACACCTGTAATCCCTGCTGCTGGGGAAGCTGAGACAGGAAGATTAAAAAAAAAAAAATCCTGTCAAGCCCGGACAACATGGCAAGGTCCTGCCTCAACATTTAAAAGAAGGGAAAAAGTGTACAAGTAGAGAAGTCTCCAAGATCAGATGGTTTTCCTGATGAATTCTACCAAACATTCAAGGAACAGTGACAGCGATATTACACCAAGTCAGCAAGGACAAGACATTTCCTAAGTCTTTCTGAGGCCAGCATGAGGCCTGGAGCCAGGTCAGACAGATACATTGTGAAAACTTGGCCCAGTGAATCTAAATTCACACTGCAGTGGGAAGGCATGGAGACGTCAAATGGCACTGATCCAGGCATGGTGTCACATGCCTGCAGTCCCAGAATTTGGGAGGCAGGAGGACTGCCACCAGTTCAAGGCCAGCCCTGAACTGCACAGCCAGAACCTGTTTCCAAAAACAAAACCAAACCACCAGACACAGAACATTGGAGAGGGACTTGCACAGCCTGACTTGGAAGCTCACTGCCAAGCCACAGTCGCCAAGATGGTGGCAGCAGACGGGCCTGAAGGCAGAGACGGCCCAGTGCAGACCCACACTTGCATCACCCTGAAATGTCCGGCGACTCCACCAGGAGAGAAAAGACAATCTTCCTGCCCATGGTGCTGGAAAACCAGATGTCCCCCTGGCAACCGGGCCTTGACCCCTTGCTAGTACTGCACACACTCCTCGGGGCAGGCAGACACCGGGCAGCCAGTTCAGGAAAAGGCGCTCGGTGTGGATGGCCACTCAGGAAATGCAAATCCCAGGACAGTGAGACGCCACTGCACTCTCCAGGGTGACAAACAGCAAAGCGCCGGGTGTGGAAAGGCTGAAGACCTTGCACACTGTCTGTGGTGCTGACAGGAAATAGTGGGGCAGGATGGAAGAGAACTCAGAAGATTGAGGAAAACTTGGCAGGACAGAAATAGCAGAGGCCTCACTTGTGGTCAGAGCCATGCAGGAGGCTCAAGCTCTTGAGCCTAGTACATGGAGACTGGTCCGGACAACCCACAAAACTCTGTCTAAAGAAACAAACACGGAAGGAAAAGGGAAGAAGGACATTGTGACACATCTGTCCCGTCTCTGCCTGAGTGCACACACGCGTGGCTGAGGGGCAGGGTGGCCTGCAGAGAGCTGCCTCCTCCTGACAGTGTCCCCCAGAGTCTTGCGGGCTCCAGGAGTTAGTACGTGTACATAATATATAAATTATTTTTTCATCCCTTACCCTCCTTTTTCTCCCCGCTTCCTTCATCCTTTGTTCCCTTCCTATTTGCAAAAACTCTTTTTCCTATGATGGTTTGTTTTTTGCTCTTTATATATGCTTTGGGTTTCTCATGTAAAAGAAACCAGAGTATTTAAGCTTGTGTCTGGTTACCTCTATTCTTTATAATGATCTTGTCAGGGAAAAACATTACTGACCCGAGTTCCCTAAAGCAACCCTCCCACGTGGTCACTCCTGGATTCTGAGAAACCCCGCCCTAGGGGGCGGGGAGGACCCTGCCCCTGCCGCGCCCACTCTCTTCAGCCAATCATTCCCGTAGGAGAGCCATTATTTGAATATCTCCGCCCCTCTCAAAAATCTCCCGGCTAAGTCCCCGGATCCTTTAGTCCCCGCGGAGCGCGGGGCCCTGGACGCGCCACCATGGACTTGGGGTTGGCTGGCCGCTGCGCACTGGTCACCGGCGCCGGCAAAGGTGGGTCGGGGGGGGCATTTAAATAGCATCTGAATTAGATATGGGTGAAAATCAGGGTATGATTCGTTCTGAGGCAAATTCTTCTTTAGCTGTTGAAGTAATGTGCCTCTGAAATGCAATTTCCAGATTCAAGACAGATTTTCCATTAAAAAA